CAGCACCCGGAACATGTAGGCAGTAGCAGTAGCAGTAGCAGTAGCAGTAGCAGTAGCAGTAGCAGTAGCGGTGGTAGTAGTAGTAGTAGTAGTAGTACTAGTACTAGTACTAGTACTAGTAGTAGTAGTAGTAGTAGTAGTAGTAGTAGTAGTAGTGGTAGTAGTAGTAGTAGTAGAAGTAGTAGTAATAGTAGTAGTGGTTGTTGTTGTTGTTGTAGTAGGTAGCAGGTAGTAGCAGGTAGTAGGAGGTAGTAGGAGGTAGTAGGAGGTAGTAGGAGGTAGTAGGAGGTAGTAGGAGGTAGTAGGAGGTAGTAGGAGGTAGTAGGAGGTAGTAGGAGGTAGTAGGAGGTAGTAGGAGGTAGTAGGAGGTAGTAGGAGGTAGTAGGAGGTAGTAGGAGGTAGTAGGAGGTAGTAGGAGTAGTAGTAGGTAGTAGTAGGTAGTAGTAGGTAGTAGGAGGTAGTAGGTAGTAGTAGTAGGAGTAGTAGGTAGTAGTAGGTAGTAGTAGGTAGTAGTAGTAGTAGTAGTAGTAGTAGGTAGTAGTAGTAGGTAGGTAGTAGGTAGGTAGTAGGTAGGTAGTAGGAGTAGTAGGTAGTAGTAGGTAGTAGTAGGTAGTAGTAGGTAGTAGTAGGTAGTAGTAGGTAGTAGTAGTAGGTAGTAGTAGTAGGTAGTAGTAGGTAGTAGTAGGTAGTAGTAGGTAGTAGTAGGTAGTAGTAGGTAGTAGTAGGTAGTAGTAGGTAGTAGTAGGTAGTAGTAGGTAGTAGTAGGTAGTAGTAGGTAGTAGTAGGTAGTAGTAGATAGTAGCAGGTAGTAGTAGGTAGTAGTTAGTAGTAGGTAGTAGTAGGTAGTAGTAGGAAGTAGTAGGTAGTAGTAGGTAGTAGTAGGTAGTAGTAGGTAGTAGGTAGCAGGTAGCAGTAGCAGCAGCAGTGTCTGTCTTGTAAATCTTGTAATCTCAAGATCTGGGCAAGTTGCTGGGGAAATGTGTGATAGCGATGCCCAAACACCGGATGTTCCAAACAGCAATGCCTGGGGTCTACGAGGTAGCACGATGGTCTGTCTTTAAATGGTGTCTTTCCATGTCTTCCCCCTAGGGTTGAAATGTCCATAAAGCAATAAGAATCACCACCGGCCCCAATTATATGTGGAATACTGAATACTTGTGCGTTCGCACTATTGATCAACAATGCGCCACAACAAAAACATAGTTTGGAAGGAGTATCCTGGCTGGAGACAAAATATGTCTTGGTGCATGGTATACCGTTGGTAATCATTAACTTATTTGTTCCATACAGGATTCCCTCCAACCTATAGCTGGTTGGTGGTATACCTACCCCTATGAAAAATATTAGTCAGTTGGGTTTACTATTCCCAATATATGGAAAAATAAAAAATGTTCCAAACCACCAACCTATAGACGAGTAGCCTACAGCAATCGGTGCTGGTGACGGAACAGCTTCGATGCTTTGGGCAAGTTCCAATACAAGATGGGGACTTTCATATGGAGGTTTCCTAAGTCATGGTACCCCAAATGGATGGTTTACAATGGAAAATCCAATCTACAAATGGATGATTTGGGGACACCACTATTTTAGGAAACCTCCATATAAAGAAATGTAGGACTTCAATCGAATTTACCGAGATATGTTCAACTTTGTGGCAGCATTTTGTTGGTACAACCTTCGTTCTGTGTGCTCAACAAATCTGAACACATGATCACGCACATAAAGGTGATAGCCAGTGCAATGGAAGCTGCGCAAACACAAAGAGACCCGGTTGACATCCTCTTGGAACCGCTGGATCTTAAAGCTGCCATGTGGAGGAGACCACGCCAAGTGTCCACCCTTTGTGCGTCTTCTGAACATCAGCTTGCCGGTGCTGATGTCCACCAGCAAGTATTCTTCTCGCCGGTTGCTTTGGTGATGAAACCAATGAAACACAATGGCAAGGTGCAAAGCCATGGGGGATGGACAGGCTCAGGTCTTCCGAACTGTGGACCAGAAGGGTCTTAGAGTGTGTATGGTAATCACAGAGCATGTGAAATGTGCATCTATTTTTCATAAATGACCTTGATTTTCAATTGCCGAACATCACCATCTGTCATCACTGCTGCACCCATCATCATCATCATCATCACCACCATTGATTCAACATGATTCCCTCACCATCAATCAGCATTGTTCCATCTTGAAGTCCTCATTCATCACACATGTTCAGGGGTCAAGTCGCCATGCATATCCATAAATCACACTGTTTCAGAGTTGAAATCACATTTTTTATATCCAAAAACCATCATCAACATTCATAAATACCACATTTTTTCATGTCCAAATTCCATCCAATTCCCCATAACTCGGACATTTTCCAACGCTTCACACTTGGCTTCCCGGCGCCCGCGCTGCGGATGGCCGCCACGGAGAGGACGAAGCCGCGCTCCACCTGGACCCAAAGTGGTTCCAGAATTTTCACCTCAAAATGAGGAACCATTACTGGTTAATATATGGTTAATATTAATGGTTAATATACTGTTGATAATGGTAAATATTAATGGTTATTATATGGTTAATGATGCTTAATAACTATAACTGGTTGGTGGTATACCTACCCCTCTGAAGAATATTAGTCAATTGGGAGTATTATTCCCAATATATGGAAAAAATGTTCCAAACCACCAAACAGGGAATCATAATTCGGACTGAAAATAGAATCTGGAAATGTGGCAATTTCGGGCGAAAGTGTGAGGGCTGTTTGGGTTTCATTTCAAGGTTTCAATCATCTCCGCAAAAGGAACCGTGTGTGGAAAACATGATCTGCAATCAATCCAGGAGAAATCCTCCATCTTCTCCCATCTTGACGGTTCAAAGCTCAATTTTTTCGGCGGTACTACGGTACGACCCACAGTTTTGATGATTTATGCAATTCAATTCCCAAATCCACAACTTTCCAGTGATGAAAACAAAAAACAGTTGTGAACACTTCTTACGGCTAACATTCCACAATGTTTCTGTAGTTTTCTCCTAATCAAACATGACCTTCACCTTCATTCGCCAACCTCCATAACCCCAGGAACCTCAATAGGCACGCGTTCCCCCGCTCCATAGTCCTTGGCTTCAATATTACTAGAAAACATAGGGAAGAGTGGGAAAATTGGAAGTAGGATATACATATATATATATATGTATATATAATGGTACTTACATTATTTACTTCCAACGTATGCCAAAGTTTACGCTCCGTGGTGCCTGTTTGAAAAAAACATGTTTACCTAGCTGAAACCCAGAGTTTGGAGGGCCAAGGTCATGGGCTGCAGACTTTCGCTCAGCACCATTGGGGCTCGCTTTCAACTGAAGGGTCGGCAAAATTAGCGAATTTTCAGCCAATGTGTTAAACATCACTGGATATATACCTGGTTACTTTAGATGTGCATCTCAGTTTGGCAAGTGGTTTATAACCCATTCAAACAATGCCAGTTCAGAAGTTCATATTCACGCAGCATCTAACTGGGGACAGTCCGCTCAAAACTGAGCAGTGGTCAGAAACCCTCTGTCGTCCCTTTATACAACCCTTTCACACTAGTTCGTTGATAGGATCTCGCAGAATGGATTGTGAGAATCCACAATAGATGTATACTACATACCGTATTTATTGGATAGAATGCACCCATTGTATATATAACTTTTAGAATCATCAAGCAACAGGGGTTAAGCACATTGCTCACTTCTGACCCACTTAGATCCAGCCAGCGAGGTCCAAACTGTGGCCATCTTCCCTGCGAATGATCCATGCTGCGGAACTTCATGGAAATCGGAAATCATGAAGAAATGGGACGAACCGTGGAGGAAACATACAACACATGTTGTCAAATGGTGATCCAATGATATTTATATAATGAGGATTTAATATAATAAAATCACATTTAGAATGATAATGTAACAATAAGTTTGAATGGATAACATTAGATGAAGTTTAGAATGGTTGACATGATACATTTTTGGATTACAAACAAGCTTAGAATGGCAAAAAATATTCTAATATTTACTGAAATCAAACAACTCATAAACATGTCTGAGCGCATGTGAATTATCATCAGAATAGTTTGGCTGTGTCATCAAATTGATGTATATAAATACTGAATGTAAGTATGTAAACACTGTTTACATATAATATATACGTACATATACGTAGATATATCTTAATATATGCATATATATATATATATGCCTTTTAAATTATGCAGTGCTTCATCTTTTACATTGCTCACCTTGTATCCATGGAAATCCATCAGTTTCCCAACCAAAAAAACATGGGGAGGGCCATTAAAAACCATGCCACACATCTTTTTTGTGGCAATAGGTTTACCACAGTATACCCATACATAACCCACATGTGTGTGTGTATATATATATATGTATGTACGTACGTATGTATGTATGTACGTATCCTCGATGTATATATATATATATACACCCATGTACTATATATATATATATGTAAACAATTGGAGAAAACATGTTGGATTTATTTCATTCCTAATCCTCCATATTCAAATGCCTGGATCTGTGCAACCAGAAATCGATCTCCTTGGAGGATCATGTATTATATATATAGGCTCAAACGTGCAAATCTCTATCAATATAATAATATATACTGATTAATATATGTTATATATATATATACACATTTATTTAATGAGTAGTTGTAAATATATATATATGTATATATATATATATATTGTATACGTACAAATGAGTGAACGACATGCAATTCTGTTTGTTCTGCCTTCAGGTATTTGTATACCCGAACTTGACAGTGCTGGTTCAATACTATGGTAAAAACCCAATATCCAATTATATACATATATATATGGGTAAATTACAATATTTCACTAACCTGAATTAAGGCCATTTGGGAATGATTTCCCTTACTAACCATGATTCCAGTGAGGTCGCAGTGAGGTCGTTAAATATTCCGGATATATGAATGTTTATGACTGTTTATACATATATATATATATACTGGGAAATCCCTGGGTCATCCCTTTATACTGGTTGGTCACTGTAATAGGATCCCTGATGTAATAGGATCTCCCATCATGGATTATTGTAATTCTCAATATATATATATGTAATTATATATATATATATGTAATTATATGTATATTCTTGGAGGCCCACGCAACCATCAGCCGACCATCGCTTCTCAATGATATCCCCATACTTTAGATGCTTTAAACCCACGGATTATGAAACCCCATCCCTAGAAGTCCTGGGACCTGCAAAGGAACTGCAATGTTCTCATGGGAGAGGGTTTGAACATGTGAAGATGCCCAGATGTTGCAGCACAGGTTCTCTATAAATATAGAGGACTGCGACAACTCACTATGGTATAAGTGTGCAGGTATTCCTTGCATATCCTTGCCATAGTCACTATGTCAGCGCCAAACGCATCTATCCAATGGGCAAGAGTCTCAACGCAGAGGTGTGAATTGGCCACGCCATGGACAAGGCGTGGCGCAAGAGTAGAGACCATGTGAGGACCCCCATAGTTTCAACATGTTTCAAAGCATATCTGGTTGGTGGTCTACCTACCCCTTCTGAAAAATATGACAGTCAGTTGGGATGATTGTTCCCAATAGATGGGAAACTAAAAAATGTTCCAAACCACCAAGCAGATATGCTAGTGACAGAGCAACTTGGCTAAGCTGATGGCACAAGAGCACAAGCTAAGACCTGAAAAGATCTTAAAAGTACGTCCAATAGACTTCGAGGCATTAAACATCATTAAACTGCTATAAACATGGCCAATCTCAGATACAAACAAATTCTGGCAGCTCGTGAACGTAGATAATCCCAGACCAAAAGACTTAGGATTAGTTCCTACCCATCCAGTTGATTGACCTAGAGTATATCCCATTATATATCCCATTAACAATGGATTTTAAACCAGTTATATCCCACTATAAATCGCTATAAATCCCTTTATCAACCACCGCTCGGGCCAAGGGTGGCAGCCACTCGCCACAGCCCCTCGGCTAGCGCCTACGGTCTGACCGATGGAGCCGCCAGCAGCGCCTCCCACCTTACAGGCATCACTCGCCGTGAAGATTTTTTCGGGGGATTCAGCGGCCGGAAAAGGAGTTCATCGGCCAGTTACCCTCTGGTAATGACTAACATAGCCATGACTAACATACCCATAGAAATAGATGATTTACCTATTAAAGATGGTGATTTTCCATAGCTATGTTAGTTTACCAGAGGGTAATCGATTCAAATGGTAATGACTAAAATAGCCATGGTTAAGCCATGGCCCATGAAAATAGATGGTTTTACCAGCTATAAACCTCCATTTATGGTTTGGATTTTCCATGGCTATGTTAAATAACCAGATGGTATATAATTGATTCAAACAGAACAGTGGATTTACGGAAAAGGAACACAAGTGACCATAGGTCATTGGGATTTGGCCATTCATAAGTGTAACATAAATTTGTGATGATAGGCTGTACGGATTTACATGGAAAATTAAGTGAGCCAATGATGTGATTTGTACAGTGATTTACAGTGACTAATCAAGAATTACGTGATTCAAGCAATTATTATGTATTTAGGTGGTTAGGGAATATAGTACAGTTTTGATGAGAAAATGGGGTGGTTTAGAATAGAACCAATTGGATTTTGACCATCAATGTGTGGCCATTTTATGGAGATCATATACGGTATTATATGGCATAAAGTACACATAAAACACACAAATCTCTCTCTCTGTATATATGTATATATATATATATTCACATATGATACTATATGACAACAATTGGGTGGTTTCACATCGTCAACGGATGGGCCAAATGGGCACTTAAATTGGCATGTTGCTTCAAAAAGATTGTGTCTTCAACATGTTTCAACCATCAAATGTCAATATTATATATATAATTTTAATGATGTATATATACACAATATTTATAATATGTATATATTCTACAATATATTCATGAGATATATGTATATAGTATATATATATGTATAAATTTCGTAGTACATTGCCAGTTCACAACCAATCTGCTGAGCTGGTGCTGCTCTTCACTGGCACCCGCTGAGGGCGACCATCACCGCTGTACCAAGCACTCACAGAATTGGGAAACTAATCAATCAATAACAAATTTGTGATTGCTAATTATTAATTAATCAATAAACCAATTGTTAATCAACATCAACATATCATAAGAAAATCACTCGGGAAATTTGGTGAACATCACATGGGAAATTTATGGAATTTTGGGAATAATGATATTCACAAATGACACCGATATGCCGATGTATTGTCGGTGATACTGCCACTTGTTGCTGTGTGGTATACCTTGATCCCTCAATCATCTCAATTGGGTTTGAATCCTCCTACCCCATCAGGGGATGAATCATGGCAACGCGGAGATGGATTGGCGACCCAGGGAAACACCATGATTTTTTTTTATCAACCGACAGCATCAGGACTGGAGAATCCATAGGGATCTAACCAACAACATGCTCACTTCACCGAGAATTGGTAACAATGGAACACAAAAGGTGCAGCGGACATGTTAGTTTACAATCTAGATACAGAGTTTTATGGTTTGATATCTATATATAGATATTGTGTGCATCTATCATAGGTTTTATGAATACACATGTAGTTTAGATATGCTTTTGTGGCTCTCTGCCCAGGATGTTTTGATTAAGGACCTGAAACCATGGTGACATTCATGAAACATGTGTTCGCAGCATGGAACTATCATGAAACGAATCTAGAATACACATATAAAACTAAACGGATTTCATTACATATATATATATAAACATGTTTTTGGATTTTGTATCCACATATGTTTTAGGACAAGCACCAATGGCTACAGCCTTGGTTTTCCACCCCTCAGGCAGCCACCAGGTGTTCAACGTCTAACCTTCGCCGAGTTCGCGCGGCATCCGGTTGGTACTTAGATGGGCCATGGGAAAGCTTCGCGATTCCTGGTTAGTAACTGGGGATTTTTGACCACCACTTAAAATATCCCATAATTTGTCAATTTACTAGCGAGTTAACTAACTCCATGGCCCATCTAAGTAGGTTTAATGCTTTAACCACCAAAGATCATGGGAGATCATGGGAAATCGGAGGCTTAACCAACTGAAATGCTGTCAAAAATCCATCCTACTTGGAGTGCAGAGCTGCGGTGATGTTCAGAAAGTACATTGTGACTCTGATCTTCATACCCTCTGGTAAACGTTGACATAACTATGGAACTATGGAAAATCACCATTTTTTTATGGGTAAATCAACTATTTCGACTGGGCCATTTTCAATAGCAAACGGTTAGTCATTACCAGAGGGTAAGTTTTTTTTGCGGCCCCAACTCAAAAGTTCACCCCAACTCGTTGGATCTCTATGGTCCTGAGATCTTACCACCGAGTTGCGACCCATAGCTCTTGATGTGAGAAACAGTGATTTCTACCACTTCAATTTCCAAATTGACCATACAAACACCGACAATCTGAAGATCCATGGATTGAACTGAAGATGATCTAAACTTCGATCTGCAGGACATCAGCAGATGTGTTGTTCACTCTTTGGGTTTCTCTGAAAATAGGGAACCCCTGGTGGGTCCTGTGGTTTGTCATCATCTTCCATGAACATAGGGAAAAAATAGGGTGCACCACATAAAATAATCAGTTGTAATATCCCATTCTATTCCCATAAAACTTGTTGGTTTTCCAATTAAATCCCCATTCAACCACCAGTTTTCCTGCTTAAACCCCCCAGCTGTTAACTGTTACTCTGAGAGCCAATCGTGCCCTTCACCATAGAAAACTCTATTTCCTTTAATAATCTCGACTGTACATATAGCCAGCATCATTTTAAGTGCATATATATATATATACATCACCATACAAAAATAGATACATCTACATCTACATCAGTGTATACACATATATATATATATACACTATATAATATATATATATATGCGTAGAAATATAGATACATCTACATCTACATCTACATCTCTGTCTCTCTCTCTCTCTCTCTCTTTCTTTCTATACGTATATTTAATTATTTATATCTGGCTGAACTGTAATAATTCACCAACCTGAAAATAGCTGTCATCATGGGACCATTTTGTAATAATTCACCAACCTGAAAGCAGTTGTCATCATAGGGCCATTTGGGAATGATACCCCATCATCTAACCATCATTCCAGTGACGTGAAACAGTGAGGTCATTATAATTATTCTCTAAGTTTCTGCTATACCCCATCATATATCCCTACCGTATCCCTGTTTATGGTTGGTATAACACCCATCAAATACAATTCATACACATGTTTTTCTTTACATCACTCCTTCTTGTCGGATCTTGTCGGCATCTCCCCCTCCCTTTCGCCTCTCCCGCAGCTTCTCCATCCTGAGATCGCAACATTCCACCAACATCAGCATGTGATGGAACATGTCGCTCTTGTCTTACGCTCAAACTGTGGTACTATAGTACCTGATTCTTGGAACGGCGGCTATGAACTGTTCAAATCTCAAGAAAAAATAGTTTCAGAAACAGTTTGGCTTTTTAAAGTATGCTTCTGACATCCAACTGCTGTTGCTCTTACTTTTTTCTTTGCTGTTGAATGTGCGATGTCGCAACACCTTTCTTGCTTGCAACTGCAGTCTGAAAATACGACAATCTAACTACCAACAATTACATCATACACATATTATACATCTGATTGCATGATATACACTGTATAGAGAAACATTAATATGTACGATCTTGCGTGCATCACTATCCCTATTGCTTGCATTCACATGTACCTACCCTCTGGCAATTTGACATAATTACCTATGATAAATCATCGTTGTTTAAAGGTAAATCAAATGGTTCATCTATACCATTGCTATCTTAAATTACCAGCGGTTGTAGTATTACCAACAAACGTAATACTCTTAACATAATTACCAAAAGAATGATATATATATATACATGTTGCTTGGGAATATCCAAAGATTATGGGAAACATTTTTTGAATATTCAAAGCAATTATATAACCACAATATCTTTGATGGAAAAGTACTTTGAATACTTATAATATACAAGTGGTTACTTTTGAACAGTATCTTTTGGGGCACAAGCGTTACATCTCCGGTGCCACCCTCCGTTGGTGTCCGGACATGGGCGCGATGCCCTGTGCTTGGTCCACCTCGGTGCCGCTCGCTTTGCGAAGAGGGTCAAGTCATTAAGTTTAGATATTAAACCCATACCCTCTGGTAAACTAACATAGCTATTGAAAATGGCCATAGAAATAGTGGATTTACCCATCAAAAACGGTGGTTTTCCATAGTTAAGTTAGTTTACCAGAGGGTAACCCCTATGGATCCAAACACTGTCTGAGAAGGTACTTAACCCCAAATCATGAGAAACACTTCCTAAGAAGGTACGGCTGGATCCATAGGGAGCCAATATACTAAATTGTTGATACAAACTTTCTAAATGAATGGATGGTTGACACTAAATGGCTGGTTGATACTAAATGATGGTTGATATTAAATGAATGGATAGCTGATACTAAATGAATGGATGGTTGATACTAAAAATGAAGCTTCAGATTATTACCATCAGGATTTGGAAGAAAACCCTTTGGACCCAATGATTCGATTGTTAAACAGTTAAACATATACTAAACAATACTAAACATATCTGCTGCACATTTCTGATGGAGCCTGGCACATAAATTGATTCATTGAGGTTCACCCATCCAAGCCTGTGGCAGAAATCCTGCAGCACCAAAAGGATGGTTGAAACTTGAGACCGTAGAAAAAACAATGATCAACCACCTGTGCAGGATTTCGCAACCACAGGGGGCGTGATAAACCACCATCGTGAGTCGACAGTATTTATGGAGAAAGACCATTTGGGACGTGAAAGAGTCAAAGAGTCAAAGTGGAGCATTTGGGGCGTGGCTTATCAAAAGAGACGCCTGGTAGACCCGGATCCAACATGCTGTAGATCTGGATGAGTGGCAGTATCATTCACTAACCAGAAATAATCTATAGGCTCCATGGTGCGAGTATGATTTACATTTGGGATCTTTTGGACTATTTTGGGGTGGTAAACCTTGGCAGATATATACCATATATGGAGCATCTGGGAAAAGTCACCTGAAATATACTAGTGATGTGGACAAGTTAGAACTATTCACGTTGAGCCGAAACAACCCACATATGCTGCTCCATGTATGCTGCTCCATGTATGCTATATTTACCTATATAACCGGGCCATTGTCGGCAAACTATGTTAAAATGAATAACCTAGAACTATTCACGGCAACCATTATATTGTATTATATATATATAACTATATATATATAACTATATATATATAACTATATATATATATATATAACTATATATATATAACTATATATATATAACTATATATATATATATATAACTATATATATATAACTATATATATATAACTATATATATATAACTATATATATATATATAACTATATATATAATATTGTATAATTATCCCTACAGCTCCAGCCAGACCTTCTGAGACTGTATTTGGAATTGTTTTTTGGGGTCTGTTTACACCTTCTCAGAGGCTATTTGGAGCACTGGGCTCGCCTTGGCCACAATTCGTGCTGTTGGGCTCAGCCGCTGACATAAAGCTCGCTGAAAAAGACCAGGGCGGCTTCAAAGCCAGGTCCCACCTCAAAATTGATGCCTTACCTGCTGGGAATCTGACATAGCTATGAAAGAAAACCAGCTTTGGCAAATCACCCAACTCAATGGGGCCATTTTCTGCTATGATAAATTACCAAACGGAATCCAAACGGTATGTATGATGATTTATCATGAACTAACTACTGTAGCAATCTGTACCATAATTTGTTATTGTTCATCGCCGTCCAATTTCAGCCAAGCCGCTTGGGCCTAGTCAATCCAATCATCCAATCGAAATCTATTTCTGGTTGGTGGTTTGAACCTGCCCCCGTGAAAAATATGAGTTCGTCAGTTGGGATGATTATTCTCAATATATGGAAAAATAAAAAATGTTCCAAACCACCAACCAGCACCTCACTTTTTGGACTTACTTGTTCAATCTTATTCATATTGAAGTTTGGGTAAAAAATGGTAAAAACACATCCAGCAAATGCAGCTGACGGTTGCGTTGAAATGGTCTCCCAGGTACACCAAGTGTCCTATAGAAACCATAGACCTGCAATGTCCGATGTAATACGCACGATCCAAAAAAACATGGCCAAGCTTAGATACCCTGCACACCAGGTTGATGCAGAAAACAACTCCTGAACCTGAGGACCTCTTGCCTTACCGAGGTTGTCCCTTCCAAACCCAGTTGAGGCTCAGGCTTCTTGCGCAACCTGGCAGACTGCCCACCGATGACGATCCACCCATTTGAATTGAAAATTCTAACCGAAAACTCCAAATCGTTGGGGATGGGAACCATGGCGTTTTCCTGTATTTTTTTAGAAACCAATCCATCCAAACTTTCGAGTCTGCTGACCCGCCTTGCCCGGCCAGGCGATTCCAGAGTCTCAGTGCTGGATGGCTGGATGCTGTTAGCAGATCCTTGGAAAAGTTGTTGACCATTGTTGACCTCAAACCCTCGCCAAGAATGTTGTCTTGATCGAAGTTGATGACGAGATCTTCGTCTGCCAGTATATGAGCCTGCTGTTCTTGGCAATCGAGGAGTGACAGAAATCGTGTCCCGTATGGTCCCTTGGTCAGATCTCTTCTCAGCATGAGACATGGATACGCTTGAACCATTTTGAACCCCCCATTTTGTTGGTTAAACCCCATGTCTTTTGGGCTTGGGTTGGTCGAAGGAAGTTTAGAAGTCAAACTTCCGACAATATGGAGAGATGAAAAAGCAGTCAGCAGGGAGAAGAGTCAGAAGAGAAAAGATCAGAAGAAAGAAGATGCAGGTGCGCGAAAAGGTAGGAAAGTCGCGAAACACTGTGTTTTTTCGTGGTTTTGTGGCTCCGGAGGGTTGAAAAGTAGGCTCGCTAAAGCGGCGGGTGCGGAGACATCTGGGGAGATGAGAGATGAAAAGTTGCACGCCGTTGTGGCGCGAAGCCGATTTCGAAGTGAAAAGGTACAAAACACCTCAGCGTCGGACCACTTTTGGAAGTTGAGATGTTGAAAAAGTGCACGGCGTTGTGGCGCGAAGCACATTTGGAAGCAAAATGTGTTAAAAACTGAAGGGTTCGGAGCAGTTTTGGAAGTTGAGAATGTTGAGATGACGAAAAAGTGCACGGCGTTGTGGCGCGAACCACATTTGGAAGTAAAAAGTGTTAAAAACTGGTGGTCTCGGGGCACTTTTGGAAGTTGAGATGTCGAAAAAGTGCACGGCGTTGTGGCGCGAAGCACATTTCGAAGTCAAAAGTGTTAAAAACTGAGGGTCTCGGAGCACTTTTGGAAGTTGAGATGTCGAAAAAGTGCACGGCGTTGTGGCGTGAAGCACATTTCGAAGTCAGAAGTGTTAAAAACTGAGGGTCTCGGAGACATTTTGGACGTTCAGACGTCGTTTTGTGTGGCAGGTGGAGTGGATTGTGCATCCACTGAAAAGTGACTAAAACGTGAGTGTTTTGTAGCATTTTCAAAAACAATGGCAGGCGTGGGAGATTTGAAGAGGATCCGCACAGATGCATTTTTCGTGGCAGGCGCAGTACAAGAGGCATCTTCAGCAGAGATGTTCGGAGCTCAAGGAGCTGATTTCCTGAGAGGGGTTGCATTTTGGCGTATCAAATCATCAGCTATGCCAAGATGCTTTTTCGTGACAGGTGCAGCATTTCGTATGACCTGGACTAACTTTTTCGTGGCAGGCGCAATACTTTAGAGACATGGCATGGAAAAATCGCAAAACGCATTGGTACGAGGCCGTCAGCTGTACTTTAGACACATAGATCGCTAGATCGAAAGATCGCTAGAAGCGTCGATGACCAGATAAACGCATGGGTAGCTAGATAGATGGATGGATAGCTGGAAGAAGAGGTAGACGGACAGATGCATGGATGAATCGATAGAGAAACAGAACGAAGAACATGGTGATGGATAGCTGTGGACATGGATCGATGAAGAGATGGACGGAAAAAGAAACTAACAGAGAGAAGTAAGTGGATGGATGAATGGCTGGATAGACAGAAAGATAGACGGTTTAATGATAGATACATGAATAGACATGTAGATAGGTAGATGGCTAGAAAGGTAGCTCTGTAGATAGATGGCGAAAGAGAGACACAGAGAGAAAGAGAGACAGAAAGGGAGAAACACTCAACCACCTTTCAATCCATCAGTGGGTTCGCTCTGCCATTTTTGCGTCACACCAACTCACCTCTCCTATAGGTTTTCCATTTTTGAAACTTCCGCCACCGCCTTGTGCGGTACTACTGGTACAAAAATGTTGAACCCATCGTTGCTTTCTGAACATCCTAACTGGAAATTAAACATACCCCATAAATCAGCCATAAATCCTGATAAATCTCCTATCGACATGGGCTTACAACTTGTATCACTTGTATCTCCCTTCGAAGAAGGAGTGAACCCGGCTCAGGGATCTTCAGCCATAGTCCGGTGAACCCCAGCATCTGTGGCCAGGCTAAAATTTGTACTCATCAACACGTCTGGTCTTCGAAGCTGCAACAAATCAGACCGAAATCGCTGGGTAAGTAGAAAGCTAGTCTCCCCATTTATGGCTAGTCATTGAGCCACTACTATCACTACTATCCTTCTCCAACCCGCTTCAGCAACTAAAATAGCTGGCCAACATCACCTGTTGGGATATTACAGTGCCAAGGTTATACTCAGGATCAGCTTATAATATCTTATAATGTGCATGTAGATTTCCCATATCATATGTATGTTCGTTAACCCCAGGGTTGATGGGAAATTCAATTGCTATTCGTATCATCCTCTTATTTTGGTTGGTTCATAGCGGTTCTCGCAATGGCTTCTAGTGATCCCCATCAGGCTAGGCCTCACAAATCCTATTTCATGTGTTACGTGTTTTTTCCGGCACCGCCCAACTGGGTGTTTTTCGCTCTTTATCCCATGAGGTCAGTCCATATCCACAGTCAATTCTTGGTCAAAGCGTTGAATCCAGAAGCTTACTTTCAGATTCTCCCAATTATTTACGGTAAAATACCCCCATAAGAATCACTTCCAAAAAATCCCGATTCTAACAATTAAACCTCATCAGAACCATACACCTATCCAAAATTACTTTACTTCGTGTGATCCCCGCCATGACATTTATACATTTTCTTACTGGCAAATCTTCTGGCATTTTATCTGACATATCTTCTGGCATTCTATCTGGCATTCTATCTGGCATATCTTCTGGCATATGTTCTGGCATATCTTCTGGCATTCTATCTGGCAAATCTTCTGGCATTCTGTCTGGCATATCTTCTGGCATTCTATCTGGCATATCTTCTGGCATTCTATCTGACATATCTTCTGGCATTCTATCTGACATTCCATCTGGCATATCTTCTGGCATTCTATCTGGCCGTTGAGGTCCGGCAGTGCCCACTGGGATCTGGAGCTTGTGGTTGAGGTCCGGCAGTGCCCACTGGGATCTGGAGCTCGCGGTTGAGGTCCGGCAGTGCCCACTGCGACCTGGAAGTCCCGGTTGAGGTCCGGCAGTGTATACTGCAATCTGCAACTCGCGGTTGAGGTCCGGCAGTGCCCACTGGGATCTGGAGCTCGCGGTGGAGGTCCGGCTGTGCCCACTGGGATCTGGACTGCGAGGAGGAGGCGGCGGGTGAGGAGGCGGAGGAGGCGGAGGAGGAGAAGAGCTCTGTTAAAATCTAGCAACCCTCACCTGGCAGGTGGGGAAAAAAACATCTAACTCTTGCCCATATGAAACCCCATTAACTCCACTACCACTGGATTTTCCATTAAGGCGAAAAGAGGTGCCCATTGAAACCGCACCTCTTCGACGGCTTCTTCCCAGCTGGGCGCCATGGAGCAACAGGACACGAAGTCACCTTGGACCTGGCTGGGCGCACTGAAGATATGGTGAAGAAAGATCTGGATCTACCCTCTGGTAATGACTAACATAGCTATTGAAAATGGCTCATTTATAATGGATTTACCCATGAAAAATGGTGATTGTCCATTGTTATGTTAGTTTACCAGAGGGTAGTTGATTCATGTTGATTATATACAGTATATTATAGTATAGTTATATTTATAGTGTATACATACTATGAATTGAATATATGATGAGTATATCATTGTGTATCTATAATAATGAATAATACACACATGAACTGTTTATGAACGATGAACTCCACATAGTTGTGGTAGCTGTGGGTCGGAACTTACGCTTTGTTGGGAGATCATCAACAAAGGTAGTGGTCTGCTGTGGAAATGTGAACCACACACACTGGAGGAGAGTTCGCCACAAAAATCAACAAGGACCTTTTAAACACATGAGTGTGTCTGGAAATGGGGTATACCTCCAATTATCTGGGTAAATTATAATATTTCACTAACCTGAATTACGGCCATTTGGGGATGATTTCCCATATTAACCATGATTCCAGTGAGGTCTCAGTGAGGTCGTTATAATTTACCCAGAATTATATCCAATTATAGCCATTCAATTGGGAAAATGATGATGAACCATTGGGGCACTCGGGGTACTTAGTACACTATTTTCAACCAAAGCCCCACGGGGCTATCATGCAACCATCGGGATTCATCCAACATTTGAAGGGCCAAAGAACCCAAAGCATTGACCAGTCTTCTGGTGGAAATGGCGGACATCTCAGCGTGGTGCCCCAGTTTCTTGTTGGATGGGGGAATGATCTAATCGCTATTCATGAAGCATCATCCCATTTCCCCATTACTAGGCACCAGTAAGGCTCAGTACGGTTTCGTTGTACCCTCCTGTAGTCTGCTGCACATGAACATTCTCGCCTGAAGTCACTTACAGATGAGTTTCTCGTTGGACATGTGATTTTTGGTTTTCTGGTTAGGTTAAAGGCATCCCTAGGTAAGAATTGCTTGGTCGGATTCGTAGATTTATCTTGGGAAATAGTTCATGCCATGGGTTAAACCAAATCACTGGGAGATGATCCTGGAACATATGACTGGTTAGTGGGCAAATTCATCCAATTAGTATCAATTAGTCATTTCATTCCAAGCCGGCCCCTGAACATGGAACTGAATTAATCTAGCCATCAACCCCCAAGTCACCTTGGCATCCAACTGGTCCCCATCCCACAACCTCCGTCGCAGCCCGACACGCGACGCGCGGCAAGCGCGCGCGGACCGTCCGCGGCCTTCGTCTCGTGGGCCTGGAGAACGGCATGGGGACGGGTTCATGGGAGCTCACCAGCAACAAAGATGTGGGGGTTCCTATGGGGGTATCCCTTTATCGCATTTTTTGTGTATTTCATGCAAGACCCATCTATTTTTATGAAGACTGGGATATTTTTAGGAAACATAACCCATGTGGATATGGGGATATTGCGCAGGATATTTCAAGATCAATGGTGCCATTGAGTGGTCGTTTCGTAACCTATGGTTGGGTGGTTGGGTTGCGGGGTTACCTGCATCTTCATTTTCGCTGGCTTCGAAACATTTCGAAACCACAATTGACAATTTGGCATCAGTTTGTTGGTATTATATATATATATATCTTGTTGCTGGATGATGCAACAAAAAATGGGAGTTCTATTGGGTCTGTCTCAGATTTGACACCCCACAAAATCCGTCAAAATCCCATGGTTGATCAATTATGTGCATTTATATGCATCATACAATGCATCATACATATCAAAAAACATCGGTATCCGGTATCCACTTTTCACTTCAAAACATTGGACGTTCACAAGCACTATGCCAAAAAAAACCCTCTATTGGCTCATCCCCATATGAATGTCAAGTGGGGCAGCTTGCAGGTGAATGATATCCACGGCCATGTTTCGTAGTGCCCTTCCACCTTACCTAAAAATCTCCCCCATGGCCACCGAAAATTAACAACAACATGATAATATAAATTAATATAACAGGTTTAACAGAATGATATGAGATACTAAACATGTTTTTTTGGCTGTGGCAATGTTAGTTTGTAGGGACGGGATTCACTTGAACCCGTACCGGGCCTCCATCTAAGCGCCGGCACCACAAGGAGGCCGGCCACAGCTGACAAGCTCACCTGAGAGACTTTCTGGGCAAAACGGTCTCAGCCGGGTTGCTGGGTTGCTGGTAGGCGCAAGACAATGCTTTGCTGTTGAGTCACCCCGCCTTGCCAGTCTCACTTCGGCGCCACGCGCGACACGCGTCGCGCGGTGGCGCAGGTACCGTGGTGGCCGCAGCATTCGGTGACTGCCACCTGAGAGCTGTCAACACTTGGTGAACCCGTGTTGGATTTTGCAGCTGAAAATTGGATGGTGCAACGCTACATAAACATGACCACTTTTCTGGGTCGTTCGGTGCAGACCCCGTACAGTATTGTTCCAGTGGATTGGGATGAAAACATCATGCTGAAGTGGTAGTTGAGTGGTGAATCCTGTCCGAAGATGTGATGTCTATATATCTCTATACCATTCTATACCCTCTGGTAAACATAGAAAAAGCTATTGAAAAAAGCCATTTATAGTTGATTTATCCATTTAAAATGGTGATTTTCCATAGTTATGTTGGTTTACCAGAGGGTACTGTAGTATATATCTGGGAAAATTATAATAATTCACTAACCTGAAATAAGGCAATTTGGGGATGATTTCCCTTACTAACCATGATTCCAGTGAGGTCGCAGTGAGGTCGTTATAACTTATCCAGATATATGAAACTTAGGAACCGATCAAAGTGGGTAAACCATGGTAAACCAGTGTACCTCAAAGTTAGGGTGCCAAGGCCGACAAACCCACAAAACACAGCCAAATTTAGTCAGGGACCCCGCACAGATTAATCCTTCAGCTGGTGTGTACATATATCCCAACTTATATAGAAAAAAAAACACAAATAATCCGCCTATTCAACCAGGGTTTACCGGGTTTACCTAATAAATTGACAAATTTGGCCTTGGGGGTAGCAAAATGTGCACCTGCGCAGCGTCGGCGCCAAGGTGGCCTGAAGAAGTTGAGGAAACAGCATTTTACCAGTAAAACATACTGGTAGGAGGGATTTACTAGTAATGAGTGGGAATATTATGGATTTTATCAATGGGTTTAGCGGATTCATTTATGGGAAAATCTAGGGTTGACAGAATCAAATTTCGGTTTTCCATTGTGTTTTTTTCCCGAGCAAACCAAGTCTGGAAAATTATATGTGTTTGTCCAAAAGTGAGGCATACTGGCATACCTTGTACCCCAAAACATGTCAATTGAGAAGAAACCATACTGAACATCCTTTGTAATTCAAATTTTGGGGTACTTCTCTTTCAATCAATGCCATATATGCATGTCAACGCATCATCTTCTATGATATTGATATATATATATATATATATAGCATGATCTAAATACAAAATTTACCACTGCCCGATTGAACTGCCATAAATAGATCCAAATAGGGTATCGTGGTCATGTTTTTTTCACCTGACTTTTGTGACACGTGTCAGGATGCCAATGGAACTACCAATAACTACCAGGAACAGTTTGGTGTCCGTGAATCTAGACCTGCAATGTAGCCAAGTTATTTGGTGCCTTTTTCCCTGCCTATAAAGACGGTATAGTACAGTATAGTTTGAGGTTCAAGTTACACTGTAGTTGCTGGAATATAGAGTTTTCAGCAAGATTTAAGCCAAGTGTATTGTTGTCAAACATGAAAGTCGAACCATTCCAAGGACACATAAAGTAACTAAACTGTTCTTGCTGATGCAAGCTGACTCACAACTTGGAACTTGGTGCAAGCAGGCATATATTTGCCCCCTCAATGTCGCGCCATCACTCAGAAGAAGGATCAAAGATCTCTTTCACTGAAAGCATGGTCTTCCACTCATCGCTTGCATTTCTTAAGCCTGTGAAACACCGGTATCTTCTTGACACGATCTCCCAGGTGCACCACCTTCTCGACCTCCTTCGGGATTCTCCTATCTCCAAACCAGCCACTTTCAATGACATATTCAATCCTTTTCTCTGTCTGGTAAACTGGTTCCCGTTGCTCTTCGTATGTCGCAACGATATTTGCAGACTCAAATCGGGAACCGGAAACGGTCATTGCATGTCATTGCCACCTCCGAATATTCTGCATCCTGCAAACGACCTCGAGTATATAGTGAACTTGTACATGTTGCAGTGACCCGATGGATCCACAATGACCTGTTTGATCTTCACATCACTGACGTCCTCTGCTTCCCCGATGGCCTGGATCACACAATTTTTACAAGTTGGCCCAGCTCGCTCTGAATCTTCCGGCCCGACCTGGTCTTCACTCATGACCACGGCATCTGCGCAGAGCGCTCACAATTTTGCTGGCTTTCAGCTGCGCAGAGCAGCTTTGGAAACAGCAACTGCCGCAGTGGCACCATAATCTTGGCCATGAGGACCACAGAACGCAAACTCCCCAGGAGTTTCGCAACATGGTGAGAAGTGGCGAAGTCCGGCTTTTTTTTGACCGGCAAAGTGCAAAGAAAAGCGGCGCTGCAGGTAACTTTCGGGCTCCAAAAATAATGTCCAAGTATTATATACTGGATATTCCTGGTATTGGTAATGCAAACAGTGCAAATGTTCTCGCGTGGACAGGTACAATGCACCTGGAAACTGCAAGAAATGAGAAAATCTACGATCAATCAACACTCGAGGCTAGGAGCTACATGGAGCTACCCAAAACCTCTTCACCAGGCCTCCGTCGCAACGGCGCCAGCCAGTTCAAAGGACATGTTGCTAAGCTTCTGTTTCTATTTGAGTTTGCCAAACGTTGGGGTTTCAATACAAAAAAACATATCAAAAAAAGGAAGGGAATCTGTCAAGGCCGCAATCTTCCAACAAAATCGCAACCCCAATCACCGAAAGTATTCGGGTTTTCCTCACTATAGTACCCGTTGTACGGCGTTGGCGTTTTTGTTGACATTGGCATTTTTCTCGTCCAACTTTCTCTGTAAACAGCCGCTTCAGCCAGCTGTGAGTGTGTGGCCCTTCCGAGGATGGTTGCAAGCTGACAGCCAAGGTGTATACAAATACAAACTGTCAAACAATCATCAACATTGTACTGGATATGGGTATGCAGAAACATTGGAAACAAAAAAACATCGGCTATGACAAAAGCATACAGCAACTAGATACGTTACTAATTGAACTGGGTTTTCTTTACCCAGTTACTAACCAGATATTTAATGAACTCTATCGCCCATCGAAGCGGAGATTTGGGATGCTGGAGGTCTTTGGGGAGACAACAACACGTCGAACTTACCGACTTACCGTTCACAACAAACGGGACGTGAATGGACGTGTTCAATCCTCCTCCTGCTCATCCTCCTCCTCATCATCATCAACATGATCATGATCATGATCATGATCATCATCATCATCATCACCATCATCATCATCATGATCGTCGTCATCATCATCATCATCACCGTCATCATCATCATCATCATCATCATCATCATCATCATCATCATCATCATCATCATCATCATCATCATCATCATAATCATCACCATCATCATCATCATCATCATCATCATCATCATCATCATCATCATGATCGTCGTCATCATCATCATCATAACCATCATCATCATCATCATCATCATCATGATCGTCATCATCATCATCATGATCGTCATCATCATCATTATCGTCATCATCATCATCATCATCATAATCATCATCATGATCGTCATCATCATCATCATGATCGTCATCATCATCATCATTATCATCATGATCGTCATCATCATCATCATCATGATCGTCATCATCATCATTATCATCATCATCATGATTCATGATCGTCATCATCATCATCATCATCATCATCATCATGATCGTCATCATCATCATCATCACCATCATCATCATCATCCTCATGGTCATCATCATGATGGGCGACCATTTGCCTAGCTCTACCTTTCTTCCCGCGGCTGGATTTCCCCCACAGCAACTCCCCTGTTTTCATCGGCGGACGGCCACATTCGTAGAGGCAATTGTTGCTTGGCTTGTTGCCAAAACCCCCAGACGTCGGCCAAGAGAAGTTTCAAACATAGCTGGAAACACTCTGCCTATACGATCGCCGCACCAAACATCTGGCTGGATGTGTTGAAAACATTGCTTTGGCCCTGACTTCCGAAGGGATGCAGAGACGTTTCTGTCTCCTTCACCTTTCAAGCTATTCCCAAGTGTTCCCACTACGCCGCGGTAATCCAACCTGGACCTGCTGGAAAATCCCCGGTTCACCGATATTGACTTGTCTCTTCAAAAATGGAGATTTTTCCCAGCCAGCCATGGGTGGCTTACCAAAAGGTACCTACTTCAGATCGATTTAACAGTATCTTCAGTAGCCGGAGGCGCTCTCCATCTTCACATCTTTGTCTTCGGAAGCACCTAAGGCTTGTCCGGCATCCGCAGTTACTGTGACCTTCTTGTAGATGTTGATGTAGGCCTCGCTGGAGACCGGCTGATTATGGTAACTACAGTAAATGCATTCGGAGTGTTAAACTTAGTTTTTTTATGGGGTTACCCTCTGGTAAACGTTTACATAACTATGGAAAATCACCATTTTTTATGGGTAAATCAACTATAAATGGTCCATTTTCAATAGCTTTTTGTATGTTTACCAAAGGGTTACACCACAATCACCATCACTGTTTACAGGTGATCATCCCTGGAATCGAGATTTGGAGCAAGAAAACCTCTACGACTGTGGATACTTCTACAGTCGAGTTGTGTCCATTCGATTTTCCCACTGGAACATTCAAATGTGACAAGAAAATAAAATATCCCCAGCAGATGGTACCCTTTGGTAAATTAACAACATAGACCCTGAAAATAGCCGAGTTTTTTCATGGAAACTCATCTTCCAAGCCCGAAAAATGGCAGGGTCGAGTTCTGTTAATTTACCAGGCCGGGTATCTGCACCATCCAGCAGGCGTCCCCCAAAATGTTAGTCACTTAATCAGTCATCCCATGGTCAGCTATAAGCCCATACTCTCCGGTAAACATCGCTATGGAAAATAGGCCATAGAAATACTTGATTTGCCTATTAAAAGTGGTGATGAACCATTAGTTATGTTAGCTTACCAGAGGGTAAGCATAGAAATACCTGGTTTCTAGGGCCAAGAAACGATCTGCGTGTCAGCCTTGCCGCCGCAGAGGTCGGTACCCATACCTGGCAGCCGTTGAAACGCCGAGGGAATCGCTGGGTGGAGTCGTTAAGACATCTCTAGACTTAGAATCCTAAAATAGTAACATGATAGTAGCTAATATCAACTATATAATATCAACTAATATCAATCAATATCAACTAATATCAACTCATATATATATATATAATTATATATAAATATGTATATATATATATAATATGTTTATGGAGTTTAAACCACACTCAAATGTATATCATTAGTATATATATATACCCACTCAAGAATGGCTGTGATCTGTCATTGGGCTGTTAAGATTACTGTAGTTGCACCTCAGCTTGAGCCTCATCAAGCTGGCTCCTCACTATGGTTATAGCCCAATGAAATATCTCCAATATTCTTGCTTAGATCTCCATTGTTTCCAGTTCCCCTAGTTATTTACTTAGTAAACAGCCATCAACCCCCCCAAAGTTGTTGGATTCAACATCATTAAAAACATAATATCTCATCATTGTCACCCCAAATCTAACCGATAAGGTTGACCAAGATCCTATAGATCCTATAGGTTCTCAGATCCCAGCCACACCTGCTGTCCTAACCCTGCAGGATTCGCCTGTCATATCCTTCCAGCTGACAAAGCTCACATCATCGTCGTCAAAAAGCACCCACATGTCATCCTGGCCCCACGATTCAAGCACGGTGGAGGCGTGCCATTTGGAGGTTTCCGAAGTCATGGGGGTACCCCAAATCATCCATTCGTCACGGATGACCATGACTTAGTAAACCCATGGTGACGACTGGGGATCCATCATTTTAAGACCTACCATTTGGGTGTAGTTCTTCTATTTGGGAATTTTGTTGCAAGCCTTGTGTTCTGAATGCAATCCATCAAGCATTGTGAATTCCATTGTTGATACATTTGTGTGGACTTAAAACACTCATTGACCCCCATTGACCATCAATCCCGAAAGCACATCACAGTCATTTATTTCCTATTGTTGCTTGCAAATCACAAAACATTTCCCCCTTGAGACCAACAAACCATCACAGCCATCACCAGGACCAGAAAAAAAACCTTCTGTGGTCAGTGGTCAGCCTTCAGATCTTTGCCGTCTGCTTTCTTGTGGAGGGTCCAGCCCACATAGTGGCCTCCATCCGCCTCAATTGACCATGAACTGGCTATGATGGTATATAAGGGGGTGCCCCAAATGGATGGTTTTTAAGGGAACATCCTATTAAATAAATGATTTGGGGGTACCCCTATTTCAGGAAACCTCCATATGTATATGTTTGATACCCTGAACACATGCAAAGGATCACACTTCAGCTGAAATGTTGACCAGTTTGAACATATTTGCACTCAAAAATCCACACTTCATGGTAAGGTCCCATGAGGCTGCTAAGTTGCTCACTTTCATTACTTCAAAGCACGAAACCTCTGATAAATTCAAGTGTTGTAAGCAGGTGAATACATATAGAAGAACACATATTTGATATATATATATATACATATCATCATCATCATCATCATCATCACTGCACATGCATATAAATGACTCAGTGATTGCCTATGATTGCCTGGGTCAGCGTGTTCAAATGCATTCAAAAGCTATGTTTTCGACATACATGCAATAACTGTTGTATGGCCATACGTTACCTGTATTCCATGTCTCTTCAACTCATGAACTGAGTGGAAAGAACTCAACGATATATACGCAACCAGTTGTATTCTACAGACTTGAAACGTAAAATAGGCAATTTCCACGTGCCCAAAATCATCTAGAATCCAATGCGTACCCATCGGCCAGATCAGTTGATTTCCTCCATTGAACCCCCCCTTTTCTGACTGGTTCAATGCTGTCAGAACATGTTGAGTCCGGATCTTTTCACACCTGTAGTCGTGAATGAATAACAACAGTTTTCCTGGTGAATATCTTCATTTTCCTGGTTCAGTTTCCCAAACGACAAGGCTCGCCCCACAGTCTCTGAGACGCAAACGGTACGACCCTTGTGCGAAATGATACCAACCAGTTGGTAGTAGCCTAGCCCGGTGGCAAGTCAGCAAGTCTAAGCCCGATTTCATGGAGATTTCATGAGGATGTGATGGGGAAATGACTTGCTACCATTTCCCCAATAAACATTGTTGATTTCATTGCCATCGGCAATCTAAGCCCGTAAATAAGGATGTGATGGTAGTTTCAATGGGCAAATCAGCAATGTAAACATTGCCCTCGGCTCAACCAGGGTGTCTGAAGAGGATCGCTTGAACATCTCCAAGCATCTGGGCAACGACAATAACATACAATAACTAAACCCAACCGCTAACACACTTACAGTAGAAACCACCTAAGGATTTGGAAAACCTTGTATATCCCGAGATTCTTCCATTACACCATTCACTAAACATGAAAACACCAGGTCACCTGTGTCCAGCTCTTCCACCCCAACGGCCGCCGCTTCGGCATCCTGCAGCCGAAAATGGTGATTTCATGGGATTTCACCAGGAAAACCATAGGAAATCCATAGGAAAATGGTGATTTGACCAACAAAGATATGGGGATTTAATGGGAATGATAGCTGATTATGATAGCTCATTTGATGCGCATAACTTGGTTAACTAGGTTAACATGGGCTAACTAGGGTTTATATGTGTTTATGGGATATATAACATTATATAACTATAGTTAGTGGGTTTTAAACCAACATATAACTGCAAAAACTCAGCTTGTAGTGATATAACGCCGGGAAAAAAGGGGGGGTATACTACCAGGGTGGTTGTGGTATGTTGCGGTAGTTATAGTTTATATAAAATGTATGTTCACCCAAATATGCATCAAACGTGTTAGAATGGGTGATGACATGATGTGTGCTTATATTTTTTGGGATGCCATATTTATCTATATATATATATATGTATTATATATATATACATACATAATTCTAGAATATTCATGAATATTCTAGATATATGTGCAGAGATCACATATCACAGGAATCCCTATAAACTTCTTGGAGGATCACCCGACTTAGTGATGGGTGAAAGTTTTGGATCCAAACAGCAGCTCTGCTGGCTCTGCTGGACATGCAAACCAAAGAGGTCCGATTTTGTAGAGCGTGAAAATAATGCTGGGAAACCAACATCTTGGACGTTGGTTTCTTTTGAGATGGTTTCTTTTCCTCTCTCTTCATTTTAACCAAAAGATTACACCGGCAAGAGACCCCAAACAGTGTGGGGTGTAGGGATCCAATGTACCAGATACAAGCAACAGTAGCTATGAAACAGGAACAGATCAGGTTCGAGCTGATCGGAGCTGCAGCAGCAGGACTTTGTTTTGGCACAAGAAGCAACCCTATGTCTACTCATGAGGACCTCATACCAGAACATACCAGAACCTCACACCAGGACATCTAAGAGAATTTCAGAGGATCGTCGATTCAGAAGGACCTTCTACAGTTATAGAGGATCGTCAAAAAAGATCTTCATACAAGAACTTCCTATGAACATCCCAGAAGATCTTTCATACAAGAACCAATGCAGAACATCTTCCAGATCAGCAAGGATCTTTTCGGGATGCTTCTCAAAGAGCTGTACGAGATCATGCAAGGACCTCAAAGAGAGGATTTCACCAGGATCTCTACAATAGCTTCTCACAAGGGATTGTACAAGAAATTGACCAAGATCTTAATGCCAGGGCCCCTAAGAGAATCCCACAATATTGTCATAAAAAGACCTGCTGCTGGAGAGGATCTTACAAGATCTTGATATAAGAAGCTCCGGAGAGCATCCCAGAGTAGCTTCCGTAGAAGCTCCTCATATACATAGCATCTGCAAAATCTTCATGCAAGAACCTCTTAGAGAGGACTTCACCCGGATCTCCACAACATCTTCTTATAAGGACCTGTGCAAGATCATGCAAGGACCTCAAAAGAAGATGTCGGCAGGATCCTGGAAAGGTCCAACCATAACTGTTACAGTTGGGCCTTTCAAATTCATGTCTGCTCGATGAGTGGTGACACGATGTAGCAACATTCCAACTCAGCTAACTTGGTAAGAGTATTCGACATCATATCCCTCAACATTCCATCGTACCCACTTTTCTCGATCAAATCATGCAGCAATTAAAGGCATCTGCCATACATCTGCCGTACGCTGACCAACAAGATGGGAAAAATTGGACAAGCTCCGGCGTCTACTCCTGCCACGGCAAGATTGCCATGGGGTAAGCATGGTACCCGGGCTGAGAGATGCACCAAGCACGCAGATCTTGTTCCCCTCCCAAGAACTTGTGTGATCGTCATAGACCACGTTACCAGCAACATCAGAAGTGCTTGGATCTTAAGCTGCCCCAAACAATTAAAAGCATAATCTTATTTCTAGACGTCCCAGTTCTGGTGGGTTTCCCCTTAGCTCAGTATGTGTCAAGGTCACGGGGCTGCTAGTTGCGAGCCAATTTACCGTGTGGAGACAAAATAAATACATCCTGCTACAGTACAGTACCTCCCAGATGAGCTACCAAATACTTCCTGCCAAGATACCTGGATTCACATGGTGGTTTCCTAAAATGGGGGTATCCCAAATCATCCCTTTTCATCGGATTTTCAATAATTAATAACCCATCCATTTTGGGGTACCTGCATTTGTGGAACCCCCATATAGGATTGTACAAAATTGATCAAAATTATTCAACTGTTGGCTGAGCAACGGCGCATTTTCCGATCCGTGAGACGAGAGCCGAACCACCCATACACTCCGCCTACATCTAATTTTTTTGGGAGGATTTATAGCCAACTGAAATCAAATATTTACCGATCAAATATTTACCAGTTGTATGCATATGTATATATATACCCTCTGGTAAACTAACATGACAAAGGAAAATCACTATTTTCAATAGGTAAATCAACTATTTCTATGGTCATTTTCAATAGCTTTTTGTATGTTTACCAGGCCGGGTACCCTCTGGTAAATAAACATAGACCCTGAAAATAACATTTTTTTAATGGAAACTAATCTTCCAAACCCCACCTGGCAGGGTCTATATTAATTTACTAGGCCGGGTATATCATGGTATATCTATGACTCGGTTGATCCTCCACAAGTGCCTCGGCAGGTTTCATCTCCACATCGTCGGTACTACCTATCAGAGATTTGCCAAGGCGAGCGATACCAAGCATCCCCCAATTATGTTTGTTGGTTTATAACCCCCACTAAGTATAGATATATCTACATATATCTAGTTATTTTTGTTGGTTTATAGCTATTTATAACCATCATTAACCACCATTAAGCATAGATATCTCTACTATGAAGCCAAGTTTTTGGAGTTTTTTCAACCCAAGCAACTTGGATCTATTCATTTTGGAAGCCTCATGGCTCCCAAAATCAGTTGATCCAATATATCCAATCATATCCAATCGGAAACCAGGTGCTGAATATAGATTCAAGTAGTGAGGGAAAGTATTCACCGGAAAAAAAAAAATATAGAAGAGCATGCAAATTGAACCAGCTGTATAGCATAGTTTGATAAACATATCATTCAACTATATCAAACTAATCATACAAGTAGGGGAACCTGGGGATAGCTAGCTGGTGACCATGGCAAGGAACCAATAGCTGGGGATCCATGTGGCATGAGGAAGTGTTCCCAAAACTTTTTCGATGACTGTCTGGACAGGTGTTGATTGAACTTTCTTAAACCATACTTTTCATAGAGTTCCAGAGTTCCAAGTTTTGATATCAACAGTTGGGTTGGTTGATATCAGTAGCACCATTTGTTGCTGGTTAAACTTGCAACATTTCTAATATGTCTGCCAAAACCTTACTATTATGAAAGAATCGATCACCATGTAGATAGATGCTGCACCTAAACCCAAACAAATCTTTGTCAGATTGCCTGAAAGAAAGAAACACGCAAACACTTGAACCGCAACATCGATCTATATGATATATATATATACGGATAAAGAGTCATTCAAGGCCGCCAATCCTTCGATCTATATATATATAGACCCTTCCCCTCCAATCAAACGTGCCTGGCTGGGAAATCCCTTTTTTGTTTTGGAGGTCTCATGGGAAAATCATCTGATTACCGGAGGGACGAGGTGCTCTTGTCCAGGGCTTTTTTCATTCGCTCCAATTCCGCATCCTCCTTTTCCTTCTTCTTCAACCGGCCCACCTGACACAGGGGCAAAAATGTGCTGCTGACCCAACAACTCTGGTTGTAAGGAATGGATATAATATAATATAATATAATATTATATTATATTATATATATAGAGAGACTATACAATATATATATATGGCATAAAATAGTATGTATATACATAGCATAAAATAGTACGTAAATGACAATATATTGATAATAGTATAATATAATATATTGTATTGTATCACATTATTACAAATAAAATCAAAACAAACACCATATAATATTATTATATAATAAGTTACGATATAAGATAATAAAAAATAATACAATATAATACACTATACACAAAAAAATAACATATAAAGCAAAACACAACCCAAAATAAGATATAATTATAATATAAAATATAACACAACACAATAAAACATAATGTAATGTAATAGAAAATTATATAATATAATATAAGTAATGTAAAATAAAATAAATTAATATAATGTAATACTTCTTGTAAATAACATATATATATATACTAGGTTCAGATGAGTTAGGATTTAAACGATCCAGAGAGTTAAGACTTAACTAGGGTTGGCTCCTAACTCATGTGCTGCCGAGGCTCAAGTTATATATGTTTAATGCTCCCAGCAAAGATGTTCTCATATAGTATAGTAGATTATGTGTATATATAAGATAACAAAATATTATAGATCATATATTGAAGAATTATATATGTATATAACTATATACAGTCTCTAGACAATATATATTTGGGGATTAAACCCAACAGCAAATAGACTTGCATCATCATTAAAGGAAACACATCTTTGCCATTAATTCCTGGATCATTGCCCTATAATTGCTTGAATAACTCTCACTTGTCATTTCGCCAACATATTTACATCTTTTGGAACCTCATAGGAAGACTGATTTCTCAGATGGCCATAATTTGGAGGGCAAGGCAAGCCATCAAAATCACCATTTTTCACCCATCAAAATCCATCAAGATGGCTGGTTGGTGGTATACCTACCCCTCTGAAAAATATGACTTCGTCAGTTGGGATGATGACATTCCCAACTGAATGGAAAATCATAAAAAACATTTTCCAAAGCACCAACCAGAATAGATTATTTCTATGGGATCGATGGATCTATCATAGATTGGATGATGATTCTATAATAGATGATTCATAATCAGTTATAACCCATATAGCTGATTGGATTATGATGCTTATGGGTTATTGGATTTATTCTATAATCCCATCTATTAACCAATCACCAAGTCACCGAAAGCTTCTTCTTCAGGTCCTCCGAAGCGCAATCGAAGATGTCGAAGGTGTGCCTCGCGGGGGTACCGATGGAATTTCTCGAAGGCGTTAAATCCATGGGAAATCCTCATCAAAAATGGAAGTTTGAAGGGGAAAATCATGGGAAAGTGTGGCAACATACTGGAAAACGATGGAAAATCCATGCACATCTCTATAAATCGAGGTTCATAAATACGGATTTTCCAGCCATGTTTGGTGACACCGGAGGGTAAGGTCAATGGCTGGATTCAAGGAACAAAAGCTACAGGAAACCCAGTAAACTATGCAACGATTTTGGGTGTAGTAAAAATTGTGATGCCTTTCAGTGATGTGTATTTTATGAACACCATCAGGTATAAATAACATTACATAATTATAGCTAGTTCATCGCCATTAACACCACCTTCTAAGTCCTTTTCTTTGGGATTGATGATGATTATCCCTATCCATGCCTGCATTCTTTGGGGGTGACACCCAGCTGCAAATATCTCGCTGGATTCTGATAAGGATGATTACCCATCAAGAATTGCAAACAACGAAGAAATGAAAGGTAGGAATGAGATATTACGGATATTGAGGGGGTTATCTAATAGGACACCTAGTGACATCTGCCCACTTGTTTCCCAGGGAGTTCAACAACCAAAAAAAACGCCAATACCAACATGAAACCAACAAATCATGATATCATGGATGCTTGTTTATTTGTTTATCAATTGCAAACTCATACTAACCCCCTTGTCAAATTTATTGGTCCCTTCAATAATCTGTTTGATTATTGAAAAAGTCTAGGGAAACACACCAGAAGTCACCATTTTTCATCTGTTGTTCTATCATTTCTTCAACCTCCATGTCTCCAGTATCTACCGCCAGGGCACGTGAAGGCGCACTTCCTGGTGAGTTTCACCTTCCCCGCAGCAGTGCCGGCCCAATCGTTGGCGCCCTTGTAGCCGAAGCGCGCAAACTGCACCTGGCTGGATCTAAGTGGATGGGATTTATTGGTTAAGCCATGGCCCATAGAAATCGTTGATTTACCCATGAAAAACGGTGTTTTTGTTCCGCAGTTTTTTGTATGTTTGCCAGAGGGTACTGATTGGGTGATGGGATTGTTCAATAGATTGTGATAACCATGAAAATTCAGCCACTAGATTTCAACAGGGTAGATCAGGCTAGTAACTAGCGTATGTCTTTCATATCCCATCAGCCCACAGATTTGCTAACCATTGCCAACCATTCACCTGCCGACCCAACGTGCATCAACGTGCCAGGTGACAATGAGATATGGAGGCAAGCTTTCCAGGGCGGAAGTCTTTTCCTGGGATCCACGAAATCGCAGCTGCCGCCAGATCGTCAGTTTCTGATGTGACTGAGAAAACAATCCCTTAAACTCTACTCGACTCTACCCTACAAATCCTGGTTGAATGAAGTGATAATATTGGATTGAAACCGATTGCTTTGTAAAATTTGAAGGTATAAAATCTAACAATGGCTACAAATTCCACTCTTCTTATGATAGCACCCCTTCGACACCGGATGGGACCTATGGAACATCATGTTACCGTTGTGCCGGGCGTCGTATTGCGCATTGCGGCCCAGGACTGGAGAGTTCTTCTCAATGTGTTCCTTCAAGGAGAGTTGCACCTCAGCGGAAGAATGATGAACACATTGGTCACAATGCAGATGAATCCATTATATATAGTATATGGTGTATTCATATATATATATATAGTATATGTATATGGGCACAAAAACAATCAGGATCCATTTTAACAACGGTGGAATGCTGCCTATGGTATCTTGCGAATATCGATGGAAGAACTGTTGGGGAGAAATGCGCAACCTCCCAGACAAGGCTGTGACCCCGAGCCGAGGAAAATGATGAGCAAATTGCCCTTACCTCATGGTGTTATACCAACTTAAAATACACCAACAACACTGGTTGTTTCAACCCAACAGTGCCAATATCACCTCGCTTCACCGTCGATTCATTCTGCCCAGTGGTTTACATTGACTCAGAATTTAAAACAAACAAAAACACGTGTTCTCCTTGCATTCTGGCATTCTGTTCACACGTGATGTGATATAATTGAGACATTCTCAACATCAAAAAGTTGGATCAATGGGTGACATCACACCGAGGTGAAAATGCATCAGCTGGACAAGCCCTCGCTAAATCCACCAATCATCATTTTCCATCCCATTTCGTGGTCGTCACTTTACAATTTCCAGGATAAACATGGATAAACCCATTAGGGCAAGTAGACCTCAGCCTTCAGGTAACAAACCACCCAAATATCATATTGTTGCTTATATAAACATATATCTAATATCAACCATGAAAAAATAACCTGTCCCATCATATCCCCATTAAAAAAAAAAACAAATGGTTTTGCTTAAGTTAAGGGACCACAAAAAAACAAGTTATGCCAGGTTATTCCCTAGAGATTCCCGAATCATTGAAATAAACAGCTTCAAATTTGCCTTTTTTCGGGGGTTCACGTAGACTAAAGGGGAACTATGTTGGGATTCAAATGGGTACCCCCATGACATTTCCTCATTTGAGCAACGTTTCAAACCCCAAGGGCTGTCCCTTTCTTTTGTGGTTTTTCGTCGAGATTCCCAGTGGAGCAAATATCCACATGATCAGATCAGATACCCTCTGGTAAACATACAAAAAAACTATGGAAAATCACCATCTTTAATAGGTAAATCAACTATAAATGGGGCATGTTTAGTAGCTATGTTAGTCATTACCAGAGGGTAGATAAGTCAAATAGTTAATCACAACACTAGAAAAAGTCATTAACTGAAAAGAAAAACATCAACCATCCACAAACCATCATCTATCAATTGTATCCCTATGTCAAATTTATCATGGTGGTTCAGCCACCTTTTTAATGATAGTCACATCTCCGATAATGCTGCCTTAATCTCCATATTTCCTCAGTATTCCTATAGCCATCATTTATAGGGGGTCAACCATTATTGATACAAGCTGAGGCTCACCAGTTACAAGTTGCTTTTTAGACCTCATGAACTAGTGAATAAAATATCCTCCTAATCAACCCAACCGTTCAGCAAGTAATGCGCATCAACTTAGCTATGGTTAACGGGGGCCATCACCTTATTGTGTATATATACACGGTATGATTGGTTATAATGCATATTCTGCAGTTATATACATCGTTGATAAGGTTGGAATCCCTGTGAATTGAACCAGAAACAAAACAAACACATATGGTTCATCTGGCTGGTATCCAACCCTATCAATGATGGGTCGAACCCCTTTATTCATAATGGTTGATGAGCTATTTCAACGATCATCAACCATGAAAAACCTCCAAAAACCAAAAATAGTAGTTCAAACCAAGCTTGACCCTATCAATGATGCTATTATTCAGTAGTTCGAGTCTTCGGAAGACCAGGGTTTACCATGGTTTACCCACCCTGCTCATCTCCCGCAGCGAGCTCCAACCCGAGCACAACAACCGAGCAACGCCCTGGGTGATGTGACTGACAGGCTCCGTCTGCGTCCCCAAGTGGCACATCACAACTCGACCTGAGATCCACCAGTGGCAGAGTCATATCATGGGTATATCATGGGAATATACATAGGGATATCATGAAAAAAATGGGAATAGAATAGGGATATCATGATTTATTGGGAGGATGATGCGAATATGACTGGATTTTCATGGAGTCATATTGGGAATATAATGTGAAAAATCATGGGTATATGATGGGGATGTGAAGGGAAATTCATCAACAACATTTAGGAATGTATGGACTATTCATGGAACAAAGGGATATCACGGGGATATGATGAATTTGATGATGAATACGATGGAATGGGAATATAATATAATAGTATCATATGGGAATATGATGGGGATATAATGGACATATAATATGGATGTAATGGGAATATCATGGGAATATGATGGGGATAATGGGATTACTTATATATATATACATAATATTATACATATGGGTATGTATACTGTAATGGACAAAACATACGATATTTATTTGGTATATGTATAATATGTAAGGTGGCTATGAATCATCCCCTCCTACCCCGGTGAACAGAGTGAACAGCCAAAGTATGCCTGCATGACATGTAAAATGCTATGTATTTTAGCCAACAAAGTAGATGGTATGATGGTTGTCTGAGCTATGATCGGATATATAACCTACGTTATTTATTTTTTGCTGTATATGACGGTTTGTCAAAATGTCTGTTCCCGGTTTTGTTGATAAATCGCAGTTCCATGCGTGCCGCCTCATGTTTGCCTTTAAAAAACATGACCTACCTTGATGAGGTGAAAACGTGGAAATTCTTCGTTACCTTTGGAAATCTTTCTAAAACCACAGGAATCGGCTAACGCACGTCGGTTTTCATTCGCTGTCGCTGGTACTATCACCTGAACTGTGTGTCTGTGTGTGTGCCTCTCTGAATGCAATATGCTTCTTGACATGCCTCCTGATCAACGCTGTTTCCTTACTGTAAGCTACCAAAGCGTGAACATGGCTGTGCCTCTGAATTGGCTGCGGGTGGACCGGGGCATGTATTTGCAATTTTCGCTAGCGCGTTGCTAGCGGCGATCTAGCGCGTAAAATACGTAAAAAAAATCGAAAATTTGGGAATATGTGGAAACTGACAGACTTGTAAGAAAAGCTGGCAAGACATTCACGACATGAAGGCCATGGCTGTCAATCAAACCTAGCGCAAACCTAGCGGGTTTGCTAGCGCTGCCTTGCAGAATTGCTGAATTTAGTTGCGTGCCGCCTCATAACGAAGAGGAAAAAACAGTAGACCCAGATGAATTATCAACAACCAATACTAAACTTCTAAACAACTATTTTTGACAAATGGTCATACATACATATATATATATATACATGATAGTATATAGGTGGGGAGGGTCTAAAACTGGGTTATACCTCCCATGTCTGGCCATCAAATATCATCTAGAGAAATTATAATTAGTCAGTGCATGGACCCCGTCCCCATCACACCCCAGTCTCAACGTAAATCTGACCTAATAGGGAAGGTAAACATAAAATGACAATCAGGACCTCATCAAGAAAAAAACACACAGTTTGAAATCTAACAATAATTAAGGAATATAGGATCCATGTTGGGCTTAAAATCTGGGGCTATCCGATTATATCTGGTTGGTGGTTTCAATCCCTCTGAAAAAAAATAGTCAGTTGGGATGATTATTCCCAATATATGGAAACATAAAAAATGTGTCCAAACCACCAATCAGATATACAGTACTATATATATACTATAAGAATTCATAAGATGCTATAAGTTGGATTCCACCCATCCCAGAGTGATATATCCGTTGTAAACTCATTCCTCAGGTTTCACAAACTGGCCCAGCGGCCCAGGGGCTCCCATATTATGGTGACCGCCGGTGACCGCCGGTGAAATGTCGTGAGTTCACCCAATACCCGATTAAAAAAGTGTTGCTGGCAGTTGCTGGCTAGAGAATCCCACAAATTAAAAAAAAACGCATATCCCATCATATCCCCATAAAGTGGCTCGATTTATATCTGGAAGACACTTGCACTCATATTTCCTGATCTAATCATCTAATCTCATTCACATCAACCCCAAAAGAGATTAAAAAGTGGAACACCTGGAAATATGAAGTACATATAATCTACAACAACATGGAAACACTTTCCTACTGTATCTGTTTGGGGGTTGCTACATATCACATAGAAGTGTTCAATTCTCAAATTTGCCCAGACACTCAGCTCTTCGCTATCCTATGAAGGTTCAGGAGACGGGCTGACATTTCGTCCGTTCAGTTGCTGTGTTTCTGGTTCACAACGGGTTGGTTTCTGGAAGAATGTCCATGAAACCCATGCATTTAAACCATGATTAAACATGTTTAACCATCAAACATGCAAACACTTCCTGATAAATGTTCCCTTCCAAATCTGATGAACCAAGGTACTTTTTGGGAGCCATTTGGGGATGTGCCCTACCACAAAAAATGGAAAACAATAGGGATTCAACACCCAATGTGAATCCAATCTGGCAAGTGAGAACCATCGTTTTCAACCATTAAATCAGCTATCAAACTAACATAGATATGGCAAACCCACCATTTGTAGCTCATTTTCCTAGGAACACCAGACTGGTTTTCCACATCTATGCTGGTTTACCCTAGGGTAAATCAGCTGTGTTTCATGATTTGGATATGTCTTCCTGCCACCTTGAGTTGTTGGAAGGACAATACATCACAAAAGAGAGGGGATGACAAAGTGCCTGGCTTACTCTCTAAGGCGAGTGTGAAGATCTGCAAGCGGGCGGCTTGCTGGTTTTGATCTAGCAACGTATGAAATAAACCTTGATGATAATTGAGCAATGGTATCTCCATGCCAAGGAGGTGTACAGAGCAACTCCACTGTCTTGCTGGCAAATCTTTGATAATTCCTGGGTTGAGAAACATCTACCCAACATAAAATATCAAAAATGTACATAGTTCTATCCAACATTTTTATCCACATGGATATGTCTGACATAGAATATCCCGTTCCAAAAAAATGTGGATCAACCCATTCCAAACTGGGATGGGAAGGTGCTGGGGATGGCCAAAGGTTTTTGGGTATATGCATGCGCTTTTCATGATCACTGTATAATAATGTGATAATATAATATAATATGTATATTGTATATACAACAATAATATATGTATAATTATATATATATATATGTATGTAGAGAGAGAGGTCTAAATCACCTCCTCATGAAGTGTTTGGAATGGGGAACCCTTGACCATTGAGTTTTCTCTGAAGATATACAAACTGAAGTTGCCGTTGCATGTCAAACGATTCAGTACCTCATGTTCCAACCATTAAACGTGGTCATCAGTTCATAAAATATCATTAATTATATGTGTATCCCTGCATCCTATTTTCCGATTTTCCGACTATATATGTTACACAAATGGACATAATTTCATGGCCATATATGGGGGTTTTCACAAATGTTGGTACCCCTAAATCATCCATGTTATGTTAACAAGAGTTTCCATGAAATAAACCATCCATTTCGATCCATTTTGGGGTTTTCCATTGTAAACCATCCATGAATTGATCCAGTTTTTTTTCGGATTCCCAATGGAGTTTCCCCATGTTTCCCTCATATCCCACCTCTCAGACCTCCCCTAGAAAGACCTCACCGTGAATTTCCGGCTCCTGAGGAGGCTCTTCATCGCATTCCAAACATTTCAGCGACGACTTCAATCTGTAACCGAAGAGTTCGTCCACCCTGGGCCGAACAAACATTTCAGCGCCGCTTTCTGTGGCATGATTTTAGGCGGCCAAGGAATTCTGGAGGGAAATGCTAAGGCCGGAATGTATGGCTTTGATGTTCAGATTCCAGAGTGTTTATTGCTTCATATTTTCCGGCGAGGTCCGTGAAATCAACTCAATCAATTGCAGCAGATTTCAGCTGGTTGGTCAGTGTCCTCATTGACTTTTCATTGATCCACTCACCAAGACATGAACCCAGGAATCAATCAACATAAATCGCCGTGGAACCTGGTGACAACCATGCTGCGAACAATCTTCATTCTTATCCCCTAATGTTTATGTTCATAATAATGGAACATGTATGCATATGTATGCATTTTTTTTTTCGGAACTATCATTTATCAGTGCTTAAGAGTAGTGCTTGAGCCACTTCAAAGAACTAAGTATACGTATCACTATCACAGCAATTTTTGATTACTACTTCAGCCATCTTCAGCCATCTTCAGCCATTTTACTTAGGAAAAATGGCACATTTCCCCAGCTGCATTTCGCAGGGGTCATCGCCCACCACCGTTGCCGCCTGTTGGAGGCTTCACTGCTGCCCTTCAAGGTGCCGCTGAGCGAGGTCAGCAGCCCGCGCAGGCACTCGTCCGCATCCTGCCGGAGGGCCGGGGCACGGAAGGGGCCCCGGCTGGCAAAACTACACACTCCGACTTGATATCCCTTGTCTACAGTTATGGCCATTTATTAATTATAACTGGTTATAAGTGGGATTATACATGTTATAAATGGGGTTATAAGTACTTATAACTGGTAAAGGGCCATAACTGTATCAGCCTTTGCAACACCGAAATGGCTCTCTTTGGTACCGCTTGTCAGACTTTTTAGTCTGAAGGCAAATAGTCTGAAATCAGTCACAAAGCACCAAGGGCTTCTCACCTGGAGTGGTTGGAGGCGCCTTCGGCTGAGTAACCACACCCCGCAGGGGGGGGAGGTGCCGTCATTGGTGGCCGTGGGGAATGATTCAACTCCCTTACAATGCAGCCTGGTCCACCAGCCGCAGCTACTGTTCGGGACATGGCTGATTCGAGTCAATCAGAACTGAGCTGCCGAACATCCGCGTCAGAAACCGCAGTCCACTGTGTGTTCCACCTTCCGGCCATCTCCTTTGTAATCAGAACTTGTTTTTTTTTCTATTTCTACACCAGTGAACGAAAATCACTTACCCTCTGGTAAACTAACATAGCTATTGAAAATCACCATTTTTTAATGGGAAAATCAACTATAAATGGCAATGTTCAATAGATGTTTGTATGTTTACCAGAGGGTATGCATTCCTCACAGCAACCTCAGTGCTTGTGGATTCCATGCTGTGCATTCCCTTCTGTGCGTTCCATTCTGTCATTCTGTTCGTGGAACCCCCGCTGGCACACCAATGCAATCAGTGCTTCTGTGTCCTATGCGTCAGAACTACAGTCCAAAGTGTACTCCACCTGCCGGCCTCATATATGCATGAATACATATATACATAGATAGGTATATATATATATATGTGTGTGTGTGCACATGACTAAATTCATATATATATATATATGATTATATTCTATGATTAAACTATCGAAACATATTATCAAGTCATATTATCTGATGATATCATCTGGTTATATCATATGATTAAAATATTATAGAACTTACATGAAGTCACATGATTATATCATACGGTTTTATTATATGATAATAACATTTGATTATATATATATATACATATAATATGTGCGGGATATACGTGGAATATATATATATATATATATATGGCTAGTTGGATTGATGGTATCCCAGGAATCCTAAGTGGATACTAACCATATCTGACAATTTAGTAAACAACATAGTCGTGCATAGCTTTATGCAGAGTTCTGGAATGCATGGCTTATAGTCTACCTCTTTAGAAATATATGGGATATATATAGCTTGGAGAACTTCACCAACCAAATGCGGAGATGATGGGTTGGGCAATGGGATACCTCTCTTTCTCTCTACGTCTATATATATATACACACTGTATATAGATAGATAAGCAGATATATATATATATATATTTAATTATATGACATGATATATATATATATATGATATGATATGATATGATATGATATATGATATGATATGTATATATATATATATAATGTAAGCATAACTATGCGGCACAAGTATAACCAGGGGATACTTATGGAATGGTTGGAAAGGAGAGTAGCGGACGCGGGAATCAGGTGGTTAACCCCCAAAGGGGATATATCATGATATATCTATGGTTTATGGGTAGATAGAACTAGTAATTAGATATGTATATAGATACTGTGTATATATATATAAATGCGTAGATAGAACTAGTAGATATATACAGTATATTATATATAATTATATATAATTATATATAATATATAAATATACATACGTACAGTTAATGGGGATTAAAGGGCAAAACCAACTTATACTGAGGTAAACCCAGCCCAAGTCTGCTGTGACCCCTACAAATGGTTGGTGAATGGGATGGTTTATTGTTGGGTTTACCTCAATATAAGTTGGTTTAACCCCCATTAACTCTATATATGATATATATATAGTATATATTATATCTACTAGGTCTATATATAGTATATATTGTATCTACTAGGTCTATCTACCCATAAACCTCCAATTGAAGCAGAGTAAACCTATGTAAACCTCCATTTTTTTCAGTTTATACAACCCATCCACCTGGTTCCAATTCCGCAATCCAGCGAATCCAGCGTGGGGTGTCCCCCGGCGCCTGTTGCATGTAAGCACCATTTTGCATCTCAGCAAACCTGTGAATGTTCGGCCGCTAAGGTCCAGAACGGGGGAGAGATAGGCGTCTCAAAAACAGAAGGCGCATTCTTAGTAGTCAGCCCATAAGCTATTGATTTCTGGGAATTCACTGAGCATCTATCCCTGTATTCTATACTATTAAGTTGAAAGTACGTACTGTACTTTTATGGGTCTTTGCATCTGAGAATTTCGGCAATATGATGGTATATACAGTATATATATATATATGTATATACATCAATGTAATCCAATAACTTCTCAACCTATGGTCTATTCAGGCACCAAGATCAGCAGACCCTAAGCAGCAAGTATACTTGCAAAGCTTCCCAGTCTTACAATGGTTTGGATGGTGCCTACTTGGATGTGCATGCCAGTTAAGAAGTAGTTCACAACCTATAGACACCCGATGTATAACTGGGGACATCATTATAATGCGGTTATGACAGTACCCACTTACTATATAACTGGGATGCACCCCCCAGTAAGGACGATTCAGTCGTAGATCGTGGAACATTGAACATGGCCAATCTGCAAAGCCATGCCAAGAAAAAAACATGTCTCTAGCAAACAATAAATAAATAAAGCACCCATCCAGTCACTTTCACATCTTTCGCCATAATTGTAGTTAATATTAATATCTGAATCTAAATCATTGGCAACTCCAGTATTGTCAGTAATGTGAGTAAAACAATGTCATAAACCATCACCCAGTCATCACCATTTTTATAGGTGGGATTCCAACCATTCACAGTCATGGGCAGTAAACATGGCATTATTTTACCCACATCAATTGAAAAAGCAAAACATAAGTTGGTTTATAAACCCCATTAACATCCATTAACTATAGTTATATCTACCATAAACATCCATTAAACCATAGTTGATTCATGGCAACGATTTATATATATATATATCCTTATACCCCCCCAATCTTGTTGCCTAATTCCCCCATGGCAACCCATCCAGTGTGCCTCGGAAAGCGTTGCCGCAAGGCCATCACGAATTGCATGGGGACCTTACTGAGATGATGACAAGGGTGCTACGAATCATGGGGTTGAGAATATATAATTTTCCATGGTTATTGGCTAACTTTCCATCCATTGATAGAGGATTTCCATGGTTATTGGCTACAATTACAATAATGGGATATAGTGTGAAATGATTGTATACAATTACAATCGTATATATATGTATATATATAATATGTATGGGATGCATTAATATATGTAATATGTAACTCATTGTAATTACTAGTCATGGATCCTCATGGGATCCTCAATGAACAGCCTGACATAGCCAGCTCCAGGACTTCCGGCGAACATGGATGTTGAATGAATCTGATCCGTTTGAAGCCCCATTGGTCGGGTTTGAAGCCACGAAAAATGGTGTCATGTCATGGGAATATTGTTTGGGGTATAGACTCAGTAGAAATGAACTGGCCACTGAATAGAGATTCTCATATGGGTATGGATCAATACCTATTAATACCATTTTTAGGGGGAATGACCATCCATTTAGCAGCTATTTTGATGTTCACCAGGGGTACAAGGTTTTGACACACCATATCGGATTAATTAGTCCATAACCTCTCTGTGACATGAAACAGCACAACTATACTCCACCCAGTCATGGTTGCCACGTATGGTTTAAAACCCAATATCTGTGGGTGATGTTCCACTTTTTGAGGGCTGAATCGCCAATGTTAATTGTTATTAGTTGTAAGCATCAACCGCCATTATTGGTAGGATCTGTCCCCATTCAAAAAATCTGAATTTGAATGTTTCTTAACATTTGGTTCCCCTTGTCACCATCTATCACCATTGGTTTTTCAGGTCGAATCTTCCAATTGAAAATCCTCCACATTCGAATCCCTATCTTCGTCTATACGGGGTCTATACATAACATTCCCCTTATAGGTAGCATTCCGTCAGGGTGAACATCGGACAACCATCCACCACATCCCGAAGAAACTTACCATGTTTATTCCATGCATTGACCTGTGCGGTAACCGTAGTACAGTATCATGTTTATCATGGCTCTCATTTTCCAGCAACCTGAACAAGTTCGGCCATTTTTCCAGCGACGTCGACAAGTGAGGTCAAACATTGATTCAGTTGTGGGCCGATCGACTTTCCAAAACAAAGGTCAAATGATTGAAACCTGCTTAAAACCTGCTTAAAACCTTCCAGACCTGCTTAAAACCTTCCGAATGTTCTTGGGATGGGCGGCTCAACTTCAATCTACATGGAATCTACATGGCATTGATTGAAACTAGTATACCCCCTAATATCTACTGGTCAAAAACATCAATTTTGTCAATTACAACGACCAGAATATGGGCGTGTTTAGAAGAAACACACAGCATATGTATCCCAGTACATCCCAGCAAACCATAAAATGGTCGGCTATTCACGATAAATTGCTGAACCCGCCCTTAACAGAAGAATCACAACCATCCTCAGCTACCATTTTTCCCGTAAAATGTCTGTTTCCATATCCATTGATTTCCATTCATATCCATTCGATTATAGATGAATTTGCTTAAATGCCTCATTCACCCAGAATTTTGCCTCGGTAAATCAGGGCCAATCTCATCCAATTCCATTCTGGTTGGTGGTTAACCTACCCCTCTGAAAAATATGACTTCGTCAGTTGGGATGATGACATTCCCAATATATAGGACAACAAAAAGGTTACAAACCACCAACCAGTAGTGGTATACATCATCATTCTCATTGCTAAATTTACATTTACATCCTCCATTTATAGAGGATTTCCATGGTTATTGGCTAATTTTCCATCCATTTATAGAGGATTTCCATAGTTATTGGCTAACTTTCCATCCATTGATTTAGAGGATTTCCATGGTTATTGGCTAACTTTCCATCCATTTATAGAGGATTTCCATGGTTATTGGCTGACTTTACATCCATTATAAAGGATTTCCATGGTTATTGGCTAACTTTACATCCATTTATAGAGGATTTCCATGGTTATTGGCTGACTTTACATCCATTGATAAAGGATTTCCATGGTTATTGGCTAACTTTACATCCATTTATAGAGGATTTCCATGGTTATTGGCTGACTTTACATCCATTGATAAAGGATTTCCATGGTTATTGGCTAACTTTACATCCATTTATAGAGGATTTCCATGGTTTTGCCCAGCCATGTTTGATGACCGCAGGGCTAAATCCCAGCATTTTTTCAAACCAGGCCACGATGGAATCCGTGGTGCTGGTCAGCTGCGAATTCACCGTCCGCAGCTGGGCCGTGAGCACCTCGGGGCCGATGGTTTTTTTGAGGCGAAAGCCGAATGGAATGATGGGATACCTATGGTTTACTATGGTTGAATAGGGGTGATAATGTGAAAATGATGGGATAATACTGGGATATTAATGGATATACCCTCTGGTAAACTAACATAGCTATGGAAAATGGCAATTTTTAATGGGAAAATCCACTATTTCGACTGGGTCATGTTCAATAGCTATGTTAAATTACCAGAGGGTATAGGCTATAGGAGAATCATTGTTTTTGTTGATGGGAACGTGTTTTTGTTTGATGGAATGCGTCTATAATATACAATCAAACTGTGATTTTTTTTGATAATAACTATACCTTAAAATAGATAGGAATCAATATAAATAATTATTACCCCGAAGAAAACAATGTAAATTGTAGATAGATTTACTATCCCAAGAAAATTCCAAGAATTAATAGTAAACTCCAACAACACTTATAGTAACTCCCAAATAGATGGAAAAGTTAAAGGCCAAAATGATTTTTTTAGTAACCGCAAAGTTATAGTTCCCAATTTCGTTGGCGAAATATCGTCAACCCCAACAAAAATGGGATACTTATTTATAATCTGAGAAAATTATAATAATTCACTAACCTGAAATAAGGCCATTTGGGGATGATTCCCCCTACTAAGTATGATTTCCAGTGAGGTCGCAGTGAGGTCGTTATAATTTACCCAGATTTATAATGGTATGTAATGGGAATGTGGCTATATATGGAAACTCCCAAACAGAAAGTAACCTGGCTTGCTGGAAAATTCCCCAGCCATAGTTTGATGATAAAAACCAGCTGTACATTTCCATTGATGTTGTTATTTTAT